ACACCGGCTGCTCAACCTCTTTGTGCTCCTCTTCATGTATCATGCAGGCTGTTATGTGTCTGCTCAATTTGCCGGAAATGGCCCGCGTGCCCGCAGTTTGAGTCGTTGACCACGTCTGCATGACGTAAGAGCAAGTCGGACATAAATCTAACCGGCATGCAGACTAGAATTTCATCAGAGCCTGTTTAAACGACACAGAGTAAAGATATAAGATATGTCGCTATTAAAGGGAATGAAGGAGCATAACATATGAGGAAATGAGTGTAGATACCCCTTTTGATGAAGGGAAGGAATAATATAAAAAATGAATAATGAGAAAAATGGCAAGAAAGATGGGAGGGGGGTAATAAGGTTAGATCATATTACAAATGGCAGAAATCAATAAGCACATGGTGTTAGGAGAAGAAATAGGAGGGAGGAAGTCATTTTAAGGGTTAATCATACAGGTCCAAACAAGAAAATGGAGAACACATACTTTTGTTAATTGTAATAAATATAAGTAAGAGAGGGAACGGCTTATACAAAGTTATCAGGAAGGCAGGTGGAGGACCATGGAGGGGATACTGGGGACAACTGGAGAATGGGTAAAGGATGCACAGAAAGCCATGATAGAATATATTATCATATAATAACGTTATATAATTATATTAAATATATATAGTCGTTTTTTTTATACATATATAATTTGTATTATGTAACAAATAATATAATAATATATATTATATATTCCTCCGGTACAGCCAGTGGCGGTGTGCACCTTCAAAGTAAAAGATCGCAATCTGCCATTAAAGGTAAACGAAGAAGAACTACATCTGCGTCAGAGGAGTTACGCGATGCTGTCCTGCGACGTCATCATCTCGCGACTCTGCCGGACAGACTTCTCCATGTGAGCAGCTTTCATCAAAGTTATCGGGGATTACTGGTGAGTGTTGTGTTTGTGTGTTTGTGTGTTTGTGTGGCAGCGGGCGGTGCAGTGAGCTCAGTGTGCTTTCTGCCTCTGCACATAAACCTTACTGTGTTTGTTATCGGAGGAGGAACGGGACGCTGCCGGCCGGCGGCCTTTCAGCTCTGCGACAAGGTCAGCATTGAAGCTTACCTGACAGGAGCATTAAACAGCACACAGAGTTACAGCTTCAGTCAGAGCTACAGCAGCACACACACTGCCGATCTCAACCTCGATACATTACTGTGTTGTCTCTGTGTGCCTCAGATAGTTATCTGCGTTGTAGGTTACACAACCAGCATTTCCTCGTTGTTAACATTACACGACCCTAGAGCTCTGTGTCTGTTACTAATGGCCAAGGAAAGATCGGTGTGGTTGAGATGACGGTGAATGCTGACAGGATGGAATTGTTGCTAAATGAACCTGTTGACCTTTTTTCTTTTCACCAACACATCTTGCTGTCTCCTCCACTGCCCCCTTCAGCAGGATGTGCGATGGGACCAGCTGTTGAACTGTGAGAAACCTTTTCTTACCTTTCCTATCTGTGGCCACTGTCTCGTCTCTTAGAACCAATGGCCGGCCGACTCTTGGGCAGATACGCCCGTCTGCTCTGCAGGGCCTCCTCCCAGGCTCCAGCTGCTGCTGCCCGTCTGCCTCCGCCTGTGGCTGGGCCGGCTGAGGTGCAGAGGGCTCAAGGATTGCCATGGGCCACAGTGAGGTTAATGTGTGAGGGAAGGGCAGTTCTCCAGAAAGACACCTTTACCAATGTGCCTGTACGCACCAAGCTGGATGACTTGGTGGATAAGGCAGCAGTGCCAGAGGACATCCTGCTGGCCTGGGAAGAGCATAGAGGTAATGGTAATCAGGCTGCTAGAGCCTTGATAAAGTTGGTGGTAGAGTTCAAGATTCCGAAACAAAATCCACAACTGATGACGGATTCAAGGCTGCTGCATATGATCAGTACCATATCTCAGCAGGTAAGGACGCCAGAAAGAGGGGTGGACTTGCATTATCATCATGTAATGTGACTGATATCTTATCCAAGCTCTTGTGCTTGTCTGTTAGGATTAATTACACATTTGTGTGTGTGTTTTGTCTCTTCCAGATGAATACAGTGTGGAACAGCAATCTAGTGCCTGTTTTGCGAGCATTCTGGGTTCTGGAAGTCTCCAATAAACAACTTGGTTCTGTTCAAGCTGAGGTGTTGTGGCGAATACGACGGCTAAACTACAGGCAGCTGAGCTACCTAGTAAATTTGGGAGCAGGCATGACCAGACAGCAGGATGTGGAACTAGTGAATGCTGCGTTAAAACAGCTGGAACTGCGCTGGACTGAAATTGCTGATGCTAAAACTGTCAGTGCACTAATATCCAAAGGAAAACGCATATCACCTACTTTGATGGACAGACTTGAAGACAAGGTATCAGAGTTAAAAACGCCCATCACTATTTAACACGGACTTAATTGCTTAAAAATGTTAGAATTTTAATGTAATGTCACAAGATCATTGACAGGAGAATGTGTATTTTGCGAATAGTATAAAATGTAAACATCATGATACTCAGTCACTGATTAGTATGCAGACTAGAATATATCATTAGTCTGGACAGACTAAAAATCCCAATCCATAGTACAGTCCCTCTATCTGTCTTTATTACAGGCTTTAGAGATCGCAGAGAGCTTTACAGCGGAAGAGATCCGCAAAATCTGTGTATCTTTGGCAGCTCAGAGCCGCAGATCTGTCCCGCTGCTCAGAGCTCTGTCCTACCACCTTCTCCAGAAGCAGTCGTCAGAGTTCACCACTCCACTGATGGTGGACATAGCTTTTTCATACGGTAATAAAACTGATGATTGTATCCAGTAACGCTGAAGGCACGTATGCACCAAATGAACATAGTGTACATCCACATCTTAATTGCCCATTCTGTAAATTTGTCTTTTTGTTGTCATCTCGCCTTCTAGGTCTGATACATAGATGTTTTAAGGATTAGTTTAACTGTTACTTTTTGGGTTCAGACTGCCGATAAGGTTCAAATCAAGCAGGGAAATGGAAGCTAGTTGAGAGAAAGCTATCTTATGATTCAAATTAAACCAGTGAAGGCTTATAAGACTATAGACAAGGCCTCTCATCTGTAGGTATAATATTTAGTTGAATGTAACACTGAAAATTTAAGCTTTAATGTCAGTACAACTGGTCTATTTTTAAGCAATAATATGTTGTCAGTAAATCTTTTGAACAGGATTTGTTAAACTTGAATATTCTACTTTAAATTGTCACGGGTAAAAAACATAATTTCTATTGAAAGGCAGAACAGATTAAAGCACTGTTTGCTCAGTAATATACTGTGTAATGCTTAAAATTAGTTTTTTTCCCTTTTTATAGGGAAGTTGAATTTCCACCATTCTCAGCTGTTTCAACGAATTGCCTCAGAGACGTTACCCAGAGTCCCTGAGCTCAAAGCTTCCACTGTCACAAGCTTGGCTAAATCACTGGGCTTCCTCAAATGGCTCCACATCCCTCTCTTTGAGGCCTTTGCTGAGGTCAGTCAAACGCCTAAAACCAAATCCAGTTAAATTCATTTTGAAAAGTCCTTAATCTCTAATCTCAAATTAGGGAATCATTTGAATATCTTCTCTCATTGTGTAACTCTCTCTCTACATTTTTTTCACCAGCACTATACAGCAAAAAAACAGATTTACAACACCGTCCACCTCTGTAATCTGCTCATGACATTTGCCAGATTGGACTTCCAGCCCAGCAGAGGAGAAGACTTCTATACCATGGTACTAAATGACAATAAAGGCTGTTTGTTCACTGTCCATTGTTGCTCCTACTTCCCACCTTAATTGTATGATCTGTTTGCCATTTTGTGTAAAGGCTCACTCTATGCTGAAGGACTCTCTCTCGGACCTGAAGCCATTTTTGTACACAGATGTTGTTTGGTCTCTGTGTGTGCTACAGCAGGCCAAGCCCCACTACCTTACCCCGGTCCTACAACAGGATTTTGTTTCCATAGTGTTAGGTAAGACACGTAACTGTGGGCATTAATTTATCTTCTGTACATTCTTGTTGAATTTATTTATTTTTATAAATATGCAGACACACACTTTGTATTAGTATACATCACTGTCAGCAGTTTAGGGGAACCTTGGAGTAAAGCACCTGCTCCTCTAAACTAGGAGAGGCTGGTGAAAGTGGTTCAGACACCTGGTAAGAATGCCCCCCCTCAAAGTACCTACTCTAACTTTTCTTGACAGAGACAGCAGAACACAACAACAATGTGTGGTATTTTGTTTGGGACCATACTAATGATATGACTCCTTTTTACATATTTCTTAACATCCTGATCTGCTGTGTTGTCTGTTGAGGCTCTGGGAACTCGCTGCACACACATTCTGGCTCAGTAGATGGCAGTGTTGAACCAATAGATTTCTGGTTAGGCACATTTAGCTCTCACAGATACGAACCAAAGACTGCTCCCCAGATTACTAAAACATTCCTGAAGTGGTTTTGACAAGCACTGATGCCAGTGGGTTGTCAGCGCTCATTCTTTCTTTTATCTTTTCTGTCTGTAGCGGGCAGTCCATCTCAAGCGGAGAACTATAGGCTGAAGCTCCTCCACATTGCTGCTACTCTCAAGTTAGAGCATCCGGATTCCTCAAAATCTAAATGCTCCTTGAGTGCCCTGCCTGTGTTGGCCAGCAGCTCCCCCCTCTCCCCCCTACAGAGCAGTCTGAGAGAGGCTTTACAGGATTTGGTGGGTGAGAAAAAAGAGGCCCTTCGCACTGGGGTTGACACTGTGTATGGATGGACTATTGGTAAGGGGGCCAAGATAGCCCATATATACTTTGAAATCACATACATACCATGCTGTCTGTTGCTTTTATTACTGGAGTTGTACGAGACTTTTATACACGAAAGAAACATTTACCACTGTGTGTCATGTCTGTGTAAACCTAAAGGAGAAGTAGTTTCTGTTGAGGCAGAGAGCTCTTTTACAACTCTCATATCCTTCTCTAATCAGATGGAGAGATGGCCGTGGATTGTGACTACAAACCGATTGACATCTCAACACTGAAAGCCCCTCATCTACCCAGTGGAGGAGGAAACCAGGCTTTACCTGTAGGGGCCCGGCGGTGAGTCATAGAGGAGAATCATGGGGGCTTTGGTTGTTTAAAGATTTACTTTTGGTTTTCTTTTGAATGTTACATCTGCTTTTATTTTGCCCTCTGTTCCACTCACTTATTTTAGGCTTGCTTTCTTGGCTTGGGAATTTCCAAACTTTGGCTCAAAGACTAAAGACCTTCTGGGACGCTTTACCATGATGAAGCGCCATCTCCAGTTGGCTGGCTTCATCACAGTGGAGGTATGGAGAGGCAGGAGAGGGGATAGCCAAACTTTGTGGCAGTATTTGTGACTGGTTATGTACTTCAAAGTAAAAGCTTTTGTTATTTCCTCTATACCTGCAAATAGGGTGAACTGAGCTATGTTCTTCAGATCAGTTTTTCATTACACACTCACTAAAGCCAATTGAAAAATTATTTTCTCTGTGTGTTGTGTTTGCTGTGATAGTGAGTCATATTTCATTGAACAGAGGCAGAGAAGCAGCACTGCTGCTGTTGTATCTGACAGGCAATGCTAACAACAGGACATAATACTTTTGTAGAGCTGAGAGTCAGGTGGGTCCCGCTGCAGTCTGTGGTATAAATAGAGCTCCAGCAGCAGCCCTGCCTCATCTAGGCCAATCCAAACTCTCTTTCTCATCTAGGACAATGTCCTTTAGCCAATAGTAGCATCACTTCCCTCTCAGGTTTGCAGTGTTGCAGGATGTGTTAACTGGGCAACTATGTGTACATTGTTTGTGTCTGTAAATATATGATAATAAAAAGAGTTTGATCAATGCATTCTCTTAAGCACTCACTGGTAATGAGAGGGTTCTTAACCCTTTAACTCTTTAAAGAAAGGTTTTCAAATGCATCCTTTTTGTTTATTTTCAGGTGCCATATTTTGAGTGGTTCGAGCTGAAGACAAGCTGGCAGAAATTGGCATACCTGAAGGACAACATTGGGAAGGCTGTGGCTGAGGACATGGCCAAGTAAACCCATCAGTCTTGAGAAAATTTGCAGACTCAGTTAAATCAAAGCTTTCCCAACCAAATGGGACCACGAGGAATACACATGTACACCTACGTTCACACTCGCAGCATTGCAGAAAAACTCTCTTATACTTTGTCAGAAAAAAAAAAATCATATTTTTACTCTGGTTCCCTTGGAAACGTGTGGGGCTTTCCCTGTTTCCATGGTGATGACGAGCAAGTGTTTTGGAGCCAGAGAGAGACAGAAATAAACACAGCAGCGAGTCCTTCAGTAGAAATGACCGACGGATAGTTTTTGCATCTGCAAGTGACAGTGAAGCTGAAGCACCTGGGCCATTTGTAAAATATTGGCCAAGACATTGTGCTCATTATCAGCATGTGAATAGATAAGAATAACTTAATTATCTCTGTGAATAGGTGTCTTCTTGTGATGGAATAAAGTGTTTTATTGCTATTGTTTTTTGTCTTTTAATTTTTAGGAGGTTGACTATATGCCTTGTAGGATTCAGATTCAGGATGTGGGGCGTGTGTATGATGTGCACATTGGTACATAATATAGTATTTGGTGTGGTATTCAGACAGCATATGTTTCATTTCACATCTAACAACTAATGGCGCACCTCTCTGGCATGATGGTGTGAGTGCATCAATGTTATTAGCAAGCAATTCTTGGATCAGAATAGAGCAGCAGAGTAGGTGTCTTAAAACAGCTTTGTTACCAAAAAATAGTTTGAGTACTTAAGAAATGTTTTGGTTTGCAGTATGAAATAAGAGGCAATAAAATCACTAAAATTAGCCAGTTTGGATAATGTATACATTTGTACATGTTTCATTTGCTCTTACTGTTTAAAATTGTTATTTTTTTTTTTTATCTTAATACTGAAATCTTTAAGGTTCCACAGATTATTTATTAAAGAGACGTTTCTCAGATAAACAGTTTGCTGACCTGAAACTGCTTACACAACATGGGCAGCACTCTGACATTAGAGGCTATTGAGCAGTAGAGGGAGGGAGGAAGCCTGACAAATGCAAGCCAGGGCAGAAGAACAGAAAATGAGTTAAACTGAGGGAGCCAAAGAAAAACATTCTGACAAATGAAGTTACAGGAAATGACAAACACAAAAATAATTTGTTACTCTGATAAACCATTATATGAGCCAGAGCCATGGTGTCTACCTCATTCTTCCCGATATTCAGGGATTAATGGATCGATTGATGGACTGTTGACAAAGAGCCCTGCCAGCACTTCCAGTATTGAACTCCTTGATCATATTATCTCCTGTCTGTCAGGTTGGCAGTGTGCAGGTGCAGCAAATATGTTCAAGTAGAGCTAATTAACAAAAGATGTGAAAATGCGTCACTGCACAATGACGTTTCCTTCTTAATAAACAATGAAGCTTTTTTGCTACCCAATATATCAAATAAACAGTATTTTAATATGAAACAGACAATACTGGTAAAACATATTGTCCTTGCTCTGTCTCTGACGGATATCTGAGAAGTGCTGCTGTGCACAGCTACAATCAGGCGGATTATGTGAGTTGAGAACTCACAAACTTGTTCTTTTTTTAAACTGTGAGTTTATCAGCAGGTTAATTTCTTGAGGTCACCTTGATTGCTCTGAGGCTATTCGTTGTTATCCAGTAAAGCGGCACTCACTTCTGCTGAGCTGGCACTCCATCATGGGAAGTTTTGGGTTGCCATGGAAACTACCCTTGCTGATCATTTGGCTCAGTGCTGCCGCCCCCTCTCTGTCTTTCTATTTCCATCTACTTTTCCCCCTCACTTATTAACTTTAAAAGTAGAGAAACACAGGAGGAGAACCAGCAAGAGCGCTGGAGAGGTGTCTAAGATGGAGGGTTGAGACAGATGCTGTAGCTGCCCTCGGGGGAAATGTCTCCTTGTTGATTCCTTGGGGATGCAATCAGAACAGGAGGCAGAGGGTATATTTAGCAGTACACTTTTAGGTTTCGTTTCTGCTCTTTTGATTGTCTGTGTTTTCAGTTTCCCTGTCCCCCCGATACTTTTGTTTTCCTTGAAACCCCCTCCTTTATTAAATTTCTCTTGTTTTTGCAGTACTGGTCCTTTCCTTCAAGGTTGAGGGCAGCACTGAGAGAGCAGTGGAAATCTGCTGACATCATCTCCCAAGATCCAGTCATAGCTTGGCTGAGAGAGATGGGGAGGGGGTGGGGACAGAGAAAAGAGATACAGGGAGGAAGGGGCAGGGGGGAGGGAGCATGAATTGGGCATCAAGAGGAATACTGCAGCTCCCTATTAGATTCTACATACACCCCTCACACACACACACACACACACACACTCACACACATATTCAGATGAACTGGATCATGAGGCTCTTAAACACACGCCCACAACAGCAGCATCACTGTGCTGCACCACAGAGAGAGAGACCAGCACATACTCCCATCTCTCACTCTTTCACTCTCTGTCTGTCTCATTCTGTCTCATACACAAACACACACACATAGACAGACACGTGCTGCAGGGAAGATCTGAGTGCTGGGTCGCTGAGCATTCAGGTCCCCCCCCCTCCCCTTCTTCTTCTTTCTCCCTCTCACTCTCTCACTCTCACTCCCTCTCCCTGTTCACCTTGTCTGTTCCGGCTGTGTGGTTTATTGTTGCGTCAGAGCCAAAGAGAGCCAGCGAGAAGCATGCCGGGGGAGAGCACGCACAGATCTGTCCCCACCGACAAGCATCCAGAGCAGGGAGCTGAGGAGACAGGGCTCCCTGGACCAGGTAGGACCTCTTGGGTTGGGGATGGAGCAGGTAGATGTGATCGAAGACAGAGACCAGGGGATAGTAGAGCGAATAGATATTGCTAATTAGATTGTGGCAGGTGGGGAGAAAAGGGGATAGTCAGCTGGATAGAAAGCTGGCTAGTGAATGTGAGAGACTGCTAGCTAAACATGATTTGCTTGAAACTAGCATGTTAGTTTAAAGCTTGGTCATTTCTATCTGTCTGTTGACATGTGCAGCTGTGATTCAGCTGCATATTAGCCTCCTCACTAAACTGCATGTTGCCCCCTCCCTCCAGCTCCCAGCTATTAGCAGCAATGCCCAAAGCCTCTGAAACCCAGAACTCTAAACTCCCAGCCCACCTCTTCGCACTCCTCATCACAAAATCCAGATTAACAAACAATCTCTCGTCTAAATGCACCATCTGACTTCCAAAACCTTTGTGTAATTGCCGTCTCTCCAGCACCAAGCCCCTATCCTCATCAGAACTCCCAGCTCCATCTTCCCCCGCCCTAACCCTGGCCTCCTCACCTCTATCCCTCCTATTTAGCTATAGTGCCACCCCATCTGCATCCACATCCTCCCAGCAAATTTGCGAGCTGTAAAGGCAGCGTAGAGAGGCTCCTCCCTTCCCCCAGCCTTAGCAGGAACATGACACAGCAGCATGGCAGCAATCTGTAGGAAAACACAGGCACAAGAGCTTTGTTATAGTCAACAACTATTTTAAAATCTTGTCAGTCATTGCTCATCTTGCTGTTGTATATTTGAAGTTGTGTAGTCATGAAATAAGTAAGGAAATAAAAATTACAATAGGGATATATAACAAAATTGGGTCGGTGCAGATTGGGAGGGCCAAGATTTTATTAACGTCCCCTTGAGTCAGTCCAGCCATTATGGTTAGAGTGAGAATGTCATCAATGGAAGTCTGGAAGTACAGTTATTGTACACAATATAGCTTTCATGAGTACAGTGTTGACAGTTATGATGGATAATGAAAATGGCTAGAAAGAAAAACCCCTGCGTCCTCTCTGCTCGAAGATGTTGAAAGTGGTTTGCTGGTTTGGAAATGTTCCTGCTCTAACTTCATCATTGGCCTGATCTGTTCATAGGCTTGAAATTATTTTAAGCTTTCTTGGCCTGAATCTTGACAGAGGAGGGAGAAGAGAATTGTCGGATGCTCTGCTTACAACTCGTATTCTGGCACATACTTGATGTAAAAAGGCGAGGTTAGAGGATTGATTATGACTAAAGAGGGGAGGCAGATGGAGATAGACAAAGAAGCACCTGAGACTATTAGGGTGTCTCAACTTCATGGCTCAATCTGAGCTGTAGCTGAAATAAAGGCTCCCCTTGGGGCTGACAGGCCAGTGCTGCAGCCTCTGTGACGCAGCTCCAGTTTGCTCAGCTTGCTGCGGCCTGCTCTTTGTATGGCAAGCCGGGTGCTCGATTTCACTGTGTACCCCCAGAGGAGACTCCAAGGCTGGGCCGGGGAGGGGAAGAGAGGCAGGCATCCACAGATTACTTGCAGCACTGAATGTGCAGCAAAGAGACCGGGACTGACAGTAATGCTAGCAGATATAATACGTGTCACTGGCTTGTTTAGCAACCTAGCAAAACAGTAGTTCCAACAGCATGCAGGTCTTACATGTGATTCTAATGCCTAGCTATGTAAGGGAGGACGATACAGTATTTGTAAATGTGTTCAATGTAGCCGTTGTTTTGCTTGATTTTCTATAAGTCAGATACTATGGGTATGTAAATAATCATTGTAGCAATGCAGGAAGAAACGATCACAATCCTGCTCTGTGCCTATTATTTATATTAGATAGTGCTGTACATCTGAGTGTAAAACAGGAGTTGGCTTTTGTGCATGCTTAACTGTGCATCTCTCTGATTAGGTTTTATAGTTTGAGGCATGACTCAGCACGCACACAAACACACCTAGAGCATATTATCAGGGCAGTGATCAGGCTGGCCTGCTAAGTGCTGATGATTGCATCTGCCACGACCACAGGCAGGGCAGGAGAGCAGCAAGGGACGAAAAGGAAAGGAGATATACAATGTGACAAGAACAAAAGAACATGGAGGCGAGTGAAGGAGGCAAAGAGTCACAACTGAAACTAAAACAAGGAGAGGCAGCTATTTTTAATACTCATATATGAAACAGGACTGAGGAGAGGATTAGATAAAGGTTTAGAGAGACATTTCGAAGGAAAGGGACAAAGGAGGGGAAACAGAACAGAGTGAATTAGTGAGTGATATCCGGGTTCCTGGTAGAGCAAGTGTGTGTTTGTGGCTGACACCGAGCTGAGCCACTTGTGTGTTATAATGGCCAATCAGCATGTGGATTGAGGTCACCGTGGCAATGGCCCAGTTAAGAGCGAAAATGAAGATTCTGTTCCCTCCCTGTGTGCTATAGAGAAAGAGGCTTACATCACATCCTTTAGGGATATTTCAGTGACATTATGGTTTTGTTGTATAGTAATGATTTTGACATAACAAAATCATTAAAAATAAGCAGTGGAACTGGTCTTTTAGACTTCTCCCCCCATTTGATATCCCTATATTGCTCATGCACGAGACTCCCTCCACTCATTCCATTTCTTTCATTCATCCTGTCATTTCATCTCAGTGATTTTCCATTCCTGATGACAGTTATAAAGATGATAGCATGGTCTAGAAGGACAAGAGGACATTCAATA